AATATGAAAAAAAATACCAATAGAACTACCAAGTGACCCAGCTATTCCCCTTCTGGGTATTTTCTGAATGGGACAGAAACACTAATTTGAAAAGGTACATGCACCCCCGTGTCCACTGCAACATTATGTACAGTAGCCAACCTAAGTGTCCATCAATGTATGAATGGATAAGGAAGATGTTGAATATATATACAATGGAATACTACTCAGTCACAAAAAGGTTGAAATCCTGCCATTTGTGACAACATGGATGGACCTGGAGGGTATTATGCTACATGTATAAGCATATATATTCTGAAATTTCACCATGCTACTCAGAACAGTGTACAATATATACATATATATTCTTTTTCAGATTCTTTTCCATTATAGGTTATTATAAGATATTGAATATAGTTCCCTGTTCTATATAGTAGGTTCTTATTGTTTATGTATGGTAGGGTATATTTGTTAATCCCAGGTGCCTAATTTATTCTTCCTCTCCCTTTCTCTTTTAGTAACCATAAGTTTGTTTTCTATGTCTGTAATCTATTTCTGTTTTGTAAATACATTTCTATCATTTTTTAGAGTCCACATCTAAGTGATACCATGATATTTGTCTTGCTCTGACTTCACTAGTAGGATAACCCCAGGTCCATCCATGTTGCTGCAAATGGCACTATTTCGTTCGTTTTCATGACCAAGTAATATTCCATTACATATATATCATCATTTATGTTGCTTGTTATTTAAGTCTTTGTTACTGTAATAATAGTGCTGCTATGAACATTGGGGTGCATGTATCTTTTCAAATTTAGAATTTTCATCTTTTCCAAATATACTCCCAGGACTGGGATTGCTGGATCATGTGGTAACTCTCTGTGCATGCATGTGTGCTCAATTGCTTCAGTCATGTCCAATTCTTTCTGACCCTATTGACTAGCCCGCCAGGCTCCTCTGTCCATGGGACTCTCCAGGAAAGAATACTGGAGTGGGTTGCCATGCCCTCCTTCAGGGGATCTTCCCAACCCAGGGATCAAACCCACATCTCCTGCATTGTGGGCAGATTCTTTACCTCTGAGCCACCTGGGAAGCCCCATATGATAACTCTACTTTCAGCTTTTAAAAGAATGTTCATGCTGTTCTCCATAGTGGTCACACCACTTTTTATTCCCACCAACATTGCAGGAGAGTTCTCATTTCTTCACACCCTCTCCAGCATTTATTTTTTTGTTTTTTGCTTCCTTTTGTTTATTTGTTTTTTGACAATAACAGAAAATCTGACATTTATTGCTAGTGAAAAACCAGGGCAATACTTAATAGATTTAATTCTCATTTGAAAAATTCAGAAAACTGAGGTTTCCCTAAAGGAAAACAAATCACATTCAGAATGTTTTTTAAGCATTGTGCTGATCATAACTCTGTCCTTGGGGAGTACAAATGGAACTAGCAGATGATAACAACATTTATTATTTGTAGACTTTTTGATGATGGCCATTCTGGCCAGTGTGAGTACCATGCTCATTGTATTTGTGATTTTCAGTTCTCTAATAATTAGTGATTTTGAGCATGTTTCCATGTGCCTGTTGACCATCTGGGAGATGGTTTTTGGAGAAATGTCTATTTAGGTCTTCTGCTCATTTTCTATATTGAGCTTGGAAGTTGTTTTCATATTTTGGAAAATAATCCTTTGTCAGTCACATTATTTGCAAATATTTTCTCCTATTTCGTAGGTTGTCTTTTCATTTTGTTTATGGTTTCCTTTGCTGTGCAAAAGTGTATGTGTTTAGTTAGGTCTCATTTGTTTATTTTTGTTTTCATTTTCTAGGAGATGGATCCAAAAAAAGCTGTGACTTATGTCAAAGAGTGTTCTGCCTATGTTTTCCTCTAGGAGTTTTATAGTATCCAGTGTTACCTTTAGGTTTTTAATCCATTTTGAGTTATTTTTGTGTATGGTATTAAAGAATGTTCTAATTTCATTAATTTACATGCAGTTGTCCAGTTTCCCCAGTGGCACTTATTGAAGAGACTATCTCTTCTCCAGTGTATATTCTTGCCTCCTTTGTTGTATATTAATTGATATGGTCAGTTGATTTTCCACATGAGTGCCAAGACCACTCAGTAGGGGAAAGGACAATCTCTTCAACAAATGGTTTTGCGAAAACTGGATATGATGTCCACATACAAAAGGATGAAGTTGGACCCTTACTTTACACCACATAGAAAAGTTAGTTCAAAATGAACCAAAGACCTAAATATAAGACACAAAACTATAAAACTTGTAGAAGAAAACGTAGGGGAAATCTTCATGATATTGGTTTCAGCAACAATTTCTTGGATATAACACCAAAGGTACAGGGAACAAAAGAAAAAATAAATTAGATGCCATAAATTTTTTAATTGTGTGCCAAAGGATTATATCATGATTATGAAATAGCAATCCACAGAATGGAGGAGAATAATTTCAAAGCATATATATTATAAGTGATTAGTTTATAGAATATATGAAGAATGCCTACAACTCACCAACAGCAAAAGATAAAAACCAACCAACTCCACATACCTCAACATAATAAAGGCCATATATGACAAACCTACAACTAGCACTACACTCAATGGTGAAAAGCTGAAAGCATTCTCCCTGAGATCAGGAACAAGACAAGGATGTCCACTCTCACCACTTTTATTCAACATAGTTTTGGAAGTCCTTAGCTACAGCAATCAGAGAAAAAAAAAGAAGTAAAGGGAATCCAAATTGAAAAAGAAGTAGTTAAACTATCACTGTTTGCTGATGATATGATACTATACGTAGAAAATCCTAAAAAGGCTATCAGAAAACTACTAGAACTCATCAGTGACTTTGGTAAAGTTTCAGGTTACAAAATTACTACACAGAAATCTGTTGCATTTCTATACATAACAATGAAAGATCAGAAAGAAAGTCAAGAAGCAATTCCATTTACCATCACATCAAAAAGAATAAAATACCTAGGAATAAACCTACCTAAGGAGACAAAAGACGTATACTCCAAAACTGTAAGATGCTGATGAAAGAAATTGAAAAAGGCAAAAACATATGGAAAGATACACCATGTTTGTGGATTGGAAGAATCAATATTGTCAAAATGACTATACTACCCAAGGCAGTCTACAGATTCAATGCAATCCATCTCAAATGGCATTTTTCACAGAACTAGAACAAAAAAAATATCAAAACTTGTCTTGAGACACAAAAGACTCCAAATAGCCAAAGCAATCTTGGAAAAGAAACACAGAGCTGGAGGAATCAGCCTCCCTGACTTCAGACTATACTGCAAAGCTACAGTCATCAAAACAGTATGGTACTGGTGCAAAAATAGAAATATAGATCAATGGTACAGGATAGAAAACCCAGAAATAAGCTCATGCACCTATGGTCAATTAATCTATGACAAATGAGGCAAGACTACACAATGTTGGAAAGACAATCTCTTCAACGAATGGTGCTGGGAAAACTGGACAGCCACATGTAAAAAAAAAAAATAAATTAGATCATTCTTTAACTCCATACACAAAAATAAGCTCAAAATGAAGTAAAGACCTAAATGTGAGACTGGACACTGTAAGACTCCTAGAAGAAAACATAGGCAGAATACTCTCTTACACAAATCACAGCAACACCTTTCTCAATCCATCTTCCAGAATAATGGAAATAAAAGCAAAAATAAACAAAGGAGATCTGCTTAAATTCAAAAGCTTTTGCACAGTGAAGGAAACAACAAAGAAAACAAAAAGACAACCCACAGATTGGGAGAAAATATTTGCAAATGATGTGACCATTAAAGGATTAGTCTCCAAAACTTACAAATAGCTTATGATGCTCAACAGCATCAAAACAAATGACCCACTAAAAAAATGGGCAGAAGACCTGAATAGACATTTCTCCAAAGACAACATACAGATGGCAAACAGGCACCTGTTCAACATGGCTAATTAGAAAAATGCAAATCAAAGCTGCAATGAGATATCACCTCACACTAGTCAGAATGGCTATTGTCAAGAAATCCACAAACAATAAATGCTGGAGAGGGTGTGGAGAGAAGGGAATCCTCCTACACTGTTGGTGGGAATGTAAATTGGTACAGCCACTATGGAGAACAGTATGGAGGTACCACAAAAAACTAAAAATAGAGCTACCATATGACCTTGCAATCCCACTCCTGGGCATATATCTGGAGAAAAACATGGTCCAAAAGGATACATCCACTGCAGTGTTCATTGCAACACTGTTTACAATAGCCAAGACTTGGAAGCAACCTATATGTCCACCCACAGAGGAATGGATAAAGAAGATGTGGTACAATGGAATACTACTCAGCCATTAAAATGAATGACACCACACCAGATAAAAATAATTAGGGATTAGGAAAGAATGTGATTATTTATTTAAGACAAGGGACCTATCAACATATGCCAGTAAGGTTCACAGTTGTTAAGAGGTGGATGGAAATTGGGTCTGAGCTTCCTAGCAGCCATAGAAAGGAAAGTTAATTACATAATTCACACTGTCCATAGGATTCTAAACACACAATTACTTAACTACCGCAGTTATGGAAGATAATTTTCCTTTGAATTATTATTAAATAATTCTTTTTGATATAATAAATGCCATCAATAATTTTCTACAGTAAATAAAAAACTAGTTTCATCGGTCCATTTTGTATTGCAATCCTCGATGTACCCCCACCAAATAATGCTAAACTTCAGTGGCTGAATTCTCAAAGGGACAAAAACGGTTCTGTCTAGATCTGAAGTTTTGGCAATTTAGCTTCACTGAAGGAAAAAAATTGCATATCCAGAAGAAATGAGGATACAACAAATAGTTTTCTAAATATATTTATTTCTTACCATGAAGTTTGGATAAGTGAAGGCAACAGAGACATCATCTTCTAACGGGCACCCCATAGTATTTCTAATATTACCCCTGTGTCTTTAAGGGGGATATCTCTGACATCATTTTAGGAAACCCTGGCGTCTTTTAGGTCTCGTGACGCAACAGGAAGCCATTTTACAGTCTCAACGATATAGACCAGAGAGCTCCCTGAGGTACGTCCCCCAGCTTCTCAGAATTTAATCCAACATTGGGAGTAATGAGCCGCCAAGATTCCCAAATTCCTACTGACCACGGAGCTGAAACTTCTGGCGATCATGGAGCCCAAACTGCTAAAACTCCTGCTGCTGACGCTCACGGTGATGACGCCGTTGCCGCCATTGGCACCCAGGCTGCTGCCCAAGCCTCTATGGAAAACTTACCCCAAGAGAAAGGTAAGATGTTTTTTCCTCTAAGTATCTTTGAGAGAAACGAACTATTAGAAGTTGTTTGAACTGCAATGCCGGTTTAAGAAAAATAAACGGACTACCTTCTCTCTCTTGTGCAAAAGACGTAAAATAGTGACCTCGTGAGAAGGGATAAGCTAATTCCGTTAGAGTAGTTGGGACTCGGATTCTAGTTATTTAATGGGTTTGCGCGTCGGTGTATTTGTCACCAGGCGAGGTCACCTCTCTGAGGAACAAATCCGTCCAACCCAATGGATTTTGCAGTGCAACCGATGTGCTGGCCCTTGTACAGATATCACTGTGTACTGGCAAAACTCCCGCGGCCGTTCCAAGGGTCGTTCCTGGGTCAAGGGTGTTTGTTCTGCAGCCTTGTTCCATGAGGCCCTGGAGCGGCTGTGTCCCCGCGCCGATCAGAACCTTTCGTGCCGCCCCTCCCAGGCACGCGGCGAGCTGGCCGCCGCCTCGAGGCCACCCTCCAGTCCGCTGGGCTGGCGGTGGAGGAGGCGTGGTGAGGTGGGGAGGGGTGGCATGCAAGGCTCCTACCTGTGGCTACAAAGTCAGCCGGTCGCCTGCATCCCGCCAACACGGGACGCAGCCTGGGAGCCAGCTAGCCCTCTGGAAACCCTCTGGACAGAGAGGCGGTCCGGGCGCCAATCAGCGGAGGAGCGGGTGAGTCCGGCGGTCGAAGGGCCATGATGGGCACCAAAGGACTTCGCGCTGTGCTTCCCTTCCAAGCTGGCCTGGGGTGACGCTAAGGCTTAGGGCCCCTTGGACCCGAGAGAGATTTTCTAGGGAAATGGGATCAGAGCCGCTCTCTGCCCTTGGGAGCTTAGTGCCCTCCCTTGGATAAGGATGGAGTGGTCATTGCCTCCAGACTGCAGCCAGCGGCAATGAACTTGAGAAAGTACCAGCTTAGGCTTGTGCTGAGTTGTGCTGCTGGGAGCACGCGATCAGGTACTCTAAATCTAGCTATAATTCTAATTCCAATTGTAATTCTGGTGAAATGAGATGGAGCTGTGTGTGTGTGTGTGTGTGTGTGTGTGTGCACGCGCACACGCGTGCATGAGAGAGAGAGAATGATGGAGTGCAGTCCTGTTAATTTAATTCGGTATCAAAGAGTGCTTGCTGCAAAAAAGTGGATGCCTTTTCTTGAAGATGATAAAACCAGTTCATTGTATAAAGTGAAAGTGTGTTAGTCACGCAGTCATGTCCCACTCTTTGCGACCAGATGGGCTGTAGCCCGCCAGACTCCTCTGTCCGTGGAATTCTTCAGGCAAGACTACTGGAGTGAGGAAGCCATCCCCTTCTCCAGGAGATCTTCCTGACCCAGGGATCGAACCTGGGTCTTCTGCATTGCAGACAGATTCTTTACTGTCTAAGCCAAATTTTCAGGTAGCAGATCTTAAAAAAAAAATCATTAAAACTCATTTCAGTTAAGGGTGTTTACCTTCTTTGAAATGATTCCAAGTTCTTACATTCTTTCTTTCGAAAGAGAGGAGTTGCCAGAAAGGCACTGAAACGAACAAAATGCCCTAGTCTTAGTTCTGCTGGGAAATCTAAAAGTTACTACTGATCTGATAAAATCTTGCTTAGCAGCTAGTTCTTCTGTACTTCTGCTACTTCTGTAAATCTGTACTTCTGCTCCCTATCATAAATGTTTGTTGCTTTTATATTAAGCAGTGTATCCAGTTCCAAGATTTTTTGTTTAATTAACTTTTCCCCTTACCTTTACATTTAGTTTTTGTATTTATGTGTGCATCTGTTTGTATAACTGTATGAAGCAGGAAAAAGAAAGAAATGACTACCACAAATCATCAGTCCCCTTTTCCCTTTTTCTTTCTGTCTCCCTCCCCCTTCCCTTGCTGTCTCATCCTGGATGTCTCATTTCAGTTCTTGATTTCTCTTGTGCTCCTGTGCTCTTCTGGTAGTTTCTGAAGTCAACCTAAAGGACTGACTGGTGAATGATTTACCTATAAAAGGGTCTCAGACTCACTTGTATATGGTTTTTGTTTTTTTTTCTTTTTCTCTATGTTAACTGATAATGTTAAATATTCTTTGTCCCCCCCTTTCCAATTTCTTCTTTTATTGAAGTATATGATACCCAGTACTATATGTTACAAGTGTACAATATAGTGATTGACAGTTTTAAAGGCTATGTTCTGTTTATTATTATAAAATATTGTATACATTCCCCATGTTGTGCAGTATATTCTTGTAGCTTATTTTATACCTAACAGTTTGTACCTCTTAATCTGCTACCTCTAAATTTCCCCTTCCCCTTCCCTCTCTCCACTGGTAACCACTAATTTGTTCTGTGTATCTGTGAGTCTGCTTCTTTTTTGTTATATTCACTTGTGTGTGCTTTTTAAAAAAAGTTTCCATTGCTTTTAAGTGAGATTTGAATCAAAAACTCAATTCAATTAATGGTTTACAGAGTATTAGGAACTGTACATTATCCAGAGCTTTTTGTCTAACTTAAAAGTATAAGATTTTATAACTTGGTGTATAGCATAGTGTCCTTAGAACATAAGAAAACTTTGTCAGATTTCATACATGTACATGGCTTTATTTCCATTTTTGAGAAAATATTCCTCAGAAGTAGTGTGAACCCTGAAACCCAAAATGCAAGCCATTACAGATGTATCTCAAATAGAAGTTAAAATAAGATGAAAAAATGAAGATTAACTTGGAGATTATTCACTTTACAGAAGGTGTATTTTATGTGTGTGTATGAAGTAAAGTGAAAGTTGCTCAGTTGTGTCTGACTCTTTGTGACCCCAGGGACTATACAGTCCATGGAATTCTCCAGGCCAGAATGCTGGAGTGAGTAGCCATTCCCTTCTCCAGGGGATCTTCCCAACCCAGGGATTGAACCCAGGTCTCCTGCATTGCAGACAGATTCTTTACCAGCTGAACCACCAGGGAAGCCCATGTGTGTGTGCACGTGTGTGCGTGCATGAGTGTGTGCTCAGTCGTGTCTGACTGTTTGTGACCCCACGCCAGGCTCCTCTGTCCATGGCTCCTCTGTCCATGGGATTTTCTAGGCAAGAATTCTGGAGTGGCTTGCCATTTCCTCCTCCAGGGGATCTTCCTGACCCAGGAATTAAACCCACATCTCCTGTGGCTGCTGCATTGCCAGGTGGATACTTTACCACTTAAGCCACGAGGGAAGCCCGTATGTCATAGTGTGTGTGTGCATGCATGTGTGTGTGTGGCCCATATGTCATAGTGTGTGTGTGTGTGTGTGTGTGTGTGTGTGTAGCTTCCCAGGTGGTGCTAGTGGTTAAGAACCCACCTGCCAATGCAGGAGACATAAGACATACAGGTTCGATCCCTGGGTGGGGAAGATCCCCTGGAGGAGGGCATAGAAACTCACTCCAGTATTCTGGCCTGGAGAATTTCATGGACAGAGGAGCCTGGCAGACTATGGCCCATAGGGTCGCAAATCTTTGGACATGACTGAAGCAACTTAGTTCACATGCTTGCAAGGTGGCTTTTAGAAATAATCAAGATATATCAAATAAGGTGTTTCGAAGCTGTATACACATCATTCCAGTGAGGGTTATTAGCAAGATATTGTATAATTTAACCAGTACTACCAGAAGTGGTCGGTAGAGGGAGCAAGAGGAGTTTTTAGTAACTTTCTGTTGGTTTTATTTCTGGTTTGGTGAACTCAAAAAAGAAGAGATGAGTAGAAGCCAGGATGAACCTCCTCACGAACTTGAGAACCAGTTTATACTGCGTCTGCCTATGGTAAGAAACCCTTGTATCTCAGAACAAATATCGTCAGTGCCTAAGTATTAGCTCTGCTTGGATTCTTAAATATTTCTCTTTATTTAAGATAGGCTATAAAACCAAGAACATTTGTTTCCCAGGAGTTGTGTTCTGTTGGCAGTTCTATCCCAGCATGTACTCTTTTAAGCAGTATTTCTTTCATCCTGCACATGCCACTTATCTTCCTGGTTGATTTCCTGGCAAACGGGTAGGACGATGATGGACTTAGTCACTTATCACCGATGCTAAGAGCTTTGCTCACTGGACAGCCAAGACAGGATTCTTTTAAAATAGAGTTCTTTTCTGTCACCTCAAAAGGGGAAGTCGAGTGTTCAGCACTGTCTCCTCAGATTCATCACCATGGGAGGCTGTCGAAGCTCACCTCAACATTGTGTTAGGGTTTCTTTCCCCCGTTGATACCTGTGTTCAAGTATTATTTAGTCTAAGAAAGGTATAGTAAGGATGGGCTTCAGAAAGGTATTTCCCCACTTAGGGTTAATTAATATACCCTATAATTAGTCGGACATGACTGAGCGACTGAACAACAACAACAGATATACCCAGTAAACTGCAGCTAAGCCTTCCTGTAGCAACTACAACTGAAGGGTAACAGTGAAAACCAGGAATGTATAGCTAGGAGAAGGTGTTATCTGTAGCTACTAAGAGACAATAGTGAGATTAGAGTCAACCTCTTCCTAACCTGACTTCACAGTGCACAGTATCACATGGCACTCTTCCTAACGTGTGAGAAGTTTAAAGTTTTATTTAAAGAAGGACTGTCTCTGACATATCTTTCTATTAGCTGCTAAGTTGACAGTTGATCCTTCTGATTTCTCAATTTACCTCCTTTTTAGGAATATGCTTCCACTGTCAGAAAGATGATGCATTCTGGAAGTTCCTCCATGAAGAATAAACTAAAAATTGACTTATTTTGTAAGTAGTTAATATCCATTCACCATACATTGAACAGTAATTCATTAATGGATTGCTGTGTGTCAAGCATAGTGTTAGATGCCCAAGATGTGGCAAAGAATACAATGTGGTCTCTGCCTTGATGAACTCAGAGACGCTTCAGTCACTCGCATCTCCTCTTTTTTAAGAGGAGAGAAAATAGAACTTGCATAAAACTTGAGGTAATTATCATGGTGTGTATAAAAAAGAACTTGGAGGTCAACTGTGGGATTTATGTACTGGTGATTGTCTCCTAGACGCAAGTTTTTCTGACTGTCTAGGGGAATAACAAGTGAATTTACTATTTTTTGTTTACAAAAGTGACATGTCTTTATCTCTATAGTATTTATTAGATTTTTAAATACGGAGAGGTATGTGAAGAATAAAATTTAAAATGGCCCATAATCCCAGCACTCAGGTAGTGTATGATTGATTGTTTCTCTCTCTCTCTCTCTGGCTTTTGTATAAAATTTGATCTTTGTGACTTTAACTAGAGATTATAACTTGAGACTTATTAGTACTATCCTAGAATCAACCCTTCCCTTTGAAAACACCCACATTCAGTGACATGATCGAGTGCTCCTAACAATGTCCAAATGAATGGATTTGAACGAATGAAGTTGGCCTTTCAAGATGAGAATGAAAGATTTACTGCTTCATTCGCTTTTAGTTTACAACCATTACCAAGAAACTTAATCTACTTTTGATTGAGTGACATAAACTGGAAAAAAAAGAGCTCCATATACTCCACTTTCTTTGCTCTGGGAAGTTGATAATTGTGTACCCAATTCTAGCATTATGAGAAATAATGTTTCAATGAAAGACTCGTCTGTCCCACATAAGTCTTCATTATTCAAACCATCAGTTTTAAGAGTACATTGGGAAGATGTGAACTTTAATTTTTTCTACTTTTCTTCAGCTGACAAACGTCGTGCGGTTGTTGAGGTAGGCAATGTCTCACTAGCTGCTAAGCTGGTTGATTTGCCTTGTGTTATCGGAAGCCTAAAAACTCTGGATAGAGAAACTTTTTATAAAACGGCAGATGTTTCCCAGGTATGGACAAGCTTTCTTAATCTATTCACCCTTATATCCTTTTAGGATTTCCTTTCTCCCTCCTTTTCTTTCTTTCTTTCAATTCTCCTTTCACCTGTTTGTCATTTCTAATTTCCAACTCAATTGCACAGGAATACAATGTCATGTGCTAGTTTGGTGTTTGACCCATCACTTTTCACTACTTAATTTTACAAATAGCTTTTAGAGCCTCCTGTTTGCCATTTACCATTATTTGAAAAGCATGAACATCTGAGATCTTCGTCTGAACTTCCTGCTAGCTCTGGAGGTTTACACTGATTCTTGTTCATCATCTCTACTGTTGATTTTTTGGTTTTCTTTCCAAAGCAAAATGCTAAGATATATCTTTTATTTTTCAGCCATATTCCTTCTGCAGTGGTAAGCACTCGAGCAAAAAACAAAACAAAACAAAAACCCCTCAGCGTCCATATGTAGTGCTGCTGAGATAGAGAGGGAATGAATATGAGTCTGTGTAATACTTGGTTTTCTGGAAATTCCAAGTAACATTCTCCTTCTGTGCCCCAGGATTTCTGGTGGTAAGAATGGTCATGATCCATTACTAACTGAATATTTGTAGCCATAGTCAACTTCTTTGTCTTTGTTAAATGTAGATGCTTGTGTGCACTGCTGATGCTGATGTTCACTCTTCTCATGAAGAACCAGTAACCTCTACTGATCCTAAAGCAATCAGGAAAACTGAAAAGCAGAGACAGAAGAAATATACCTGGAAGCATGGCAGTAAGTCAACAACAGTCCCTTGCTCATTCTGGCTAGCCACATTTATCTGCTGAATTCTGATTACTTGTGAACCAGGGATCTGTTGTCACACTTAGGTATTTGGTTCAGGAGCCATCTAGACACTCTTAAAAGAACAAGTCATGTCATGAGCCTGTAGCTTATAGTGTGCGCTTTCTCTGTCCAATTCAGATAGCTATGTGACTAGCATCAATCATATACACATTTCACCACGTTGAATTTTTTTCAGTTACTCCACCACTTAGGAATGTCAGAAGGAGAAGGTTCCGCAAAACAATAAAAAAGGTTTGTGGCATGCAATTTCTGTGTCTTCTGGGTGGACTGGAAGAGGATTATGGGGGGGGGGGAGTGAGACAGTCAGTCGGATATTCATTTGTTCACTCACTTATATGTCCAGTAAACATTTATTGAGTGTGAGCAACATGACAGGCACTGTGTGCTAACAAATGGAAATATGTAATGAACAAAAACAGACTGGACTCTTGATAAGGCTAGTGTTTAGGAATCTAGATGTGTCATGAATTTGAAACTTCTGCTAATGCTTTCAAATGTTTCCAACTTTTCTTATTTTAAAGTGAACTCAGCCAGAACCTGAGAATTGGGAAATGTGGTTGTATTTCTAACCTTACCTCAGATTTGTAGAACCCTGGGAAAACTACAAGAGTACTATGCCTTGGCTTCTTTTTTAATTAAAATTTTTATTTTGAAATAATTGTAGATTCACATGCAATTGTAAGCAATAAAAAAGAGATACCATGTACCCTTGACCTTGTTTTTCCCATTGTAACTTTTTGCAAAATTATAGTACAATATCACAAACAAGAAATTGACATTATCACTATTCACTAATCTTTTTCAAGTTGCTCCAGTTTTACTTGTACTCCTCTGTATGTGTGTGCATGTGTTTGTTGTTGTTGTTTAGTCGCTAAGGCATATCTGACTCTTTGCAACCCCATGGACTGTAGCCTGCCAGGCTTCTCTGTCCAAGGGATTTCCCAGGCAAGAATACTGGAGTATGTTGCCGTTTCCTTTTCCAGAGGATGTTCCTGACCCAGGGATCGAACCTGTGTCTCCTGCATTGACAGGCAGATACTTTACCACTGAGCCACCAGGGAAGTCCTTGCATGTGTTTAGTTCTATGCAGTTATCCCATGTGTATGTTGGTGTATCTACCTACATCATCAAGATACCAAACAGTATTGTCACCACCAGGATCCCTCATCTTGCCCTTGAAAGCTACACCCACCTCCCTCCAAACCCCACCACCAGGCTCTAACCCCCGCTAATCATTAATATGTTCTCTATCTCTATAATCTTGTCATTTTGAAAATGTCATATAAGTGGAATCATACAAAGTATAACATTTGAGACTAGGTTTTTTTTCCACTCAGATTAATTCCCTTAAGGTCCCTGCAGACTGTTGCATATATGACTAGTTCCTTCCTTTTTATGGCTGAGTGGTAGGCTGTGTTATGAATATACCATAGTTTGCTTAATTGTTCACTCATAGAAGAACATCTGGGTTGTTTACAGTTTTTGACTGTTATAAATAAAGCTGCCAAGAGGTTTTTGTGTGAACATAAGTATTCATTTCTTTGGCATAAATACCCAGGAGTATAATTACTGGATATGTTGCATATTTAGTTTTATAAGAAACTATCCATAGCATTTTCCAGAGTGGCTGCACCATTTTACATTAGCACCAGCAATGTTCACACAATCCAATTTCTCTCCAGCATTAGGTGTTGTTGCTAGTTTTTAATTTTAGTCATTCTGATAGATGTGTAGTGATCTCACTGTGGTATTTGCTTTTCCCTCGTGGCTAATGATGTTGAGCATCTTCTCAGGTACTTGTTTTCCATCTGTATGTCCATTTCAATGAAGTGTCTGTTCATGCCTTTTGTCTGTTTTCTAAATGGATTGTTTTTATTGTTGAGTTTTGAGAAGTTCTTTTTTATATTCTAAATACTAGTTTTCTGTCAGATACGTGGTTTTCAAATATTTTATCCCAGTCTGTAACTTGTCTTTTCAACTTCCTCACAGGGTCTTTCAAAGAGCTAAGGATTTTTGTTTGATGAAGTCCAATTTATTGATTTTTTTTCTTTTAAGGATCTTGTTTTTCATGTCCATTATAAGAACTATTTGTCTAGCCCAGATCCTGAAGATTTCTCCTATTTTTAAAAAAAGTTTTACATTTAAGTTAGCAATCTATTTTTGTGTTAATTTTTGTACTTGAGGGTTAGTTCAAGACTCTTTTTTTTTTCTTTGCATGTGCAAAATCTCCAGCACCGTTTGTTGAAAAGGCTGCCCTTTGTCCATTGTATTGCTTCTGCACCTTTGTCAAAAATAAGTTGGGCAAAAAAAAAATAAGTTGGGCATATTTGTGTGGGTTTTTTTCCTGGGTTCCCTATTCTGTTCGACTAATCTGTGTATTGATCACCAATTCCACAGTGTAGCTTTGTAATAAGTCTTGGGATCAGGAAGATTGATTTTATTTTTTTATTCAAGATTATTATAGCCATTCTAGAGTTTGTATCTTTCCATATACATTTTAGAATAAGTTTGTTGTGTATTACAGAAAACTTTGTTGGAATTTTGATAGGAATTGCATTAAACCTATAGATCAGTTTAGGAAGAATTGATAGTTTTACTATGATTAATCTATGAACACAGTTGCCTTGGCTTTATACTGTTAAGTCTAGAGCATCTATTTGTCTACTAAATAGAAAACTACATTAAGAATGGGTCTAGAACTCTTTAAACTTTAGTAAAATAGAACAATTTTAATATAACTTCATCGTTTACTGTGTTCTCTTTCATAGCTTCCTGATTTCAAAAAAATTGAAGAAATGGACGTTTCTGAGGTAGACAAAGCATAATATAACCTTATTGTTTACCTATAGTGGATTTTATTTTGCAGCTTTTAATTTCAAACAAACCCCCCAAATTATCAAGTTTACTTTTGAGGCTTCCTTCTCACCTCTAACCCCCACTCCCATACACATAGACTGAATTTGATTCACTGAAAAATGAAGAATTCATTGTTTAATGTTTGACAACTCCTAGAGCAGAAGATGCAATTTGGTCAGTAATCTTGGTATCTTAATATGCTTCTTTTCTGTGATATTTATTTTAAAAAATTTTCTTGGAAGCCAGAGTTCACTTTTACCAGAAGTTTTTTGCAATTGCTTATTCCCCCTCAAAGTTCCAATTTCTATTTGTGGCATGATGAATTGGTTGCCATGGAGATAATTGTCTAAAACTGGATTTAAGGGAGAATGTGTGGCTAAGGTCCTGTTTTTATAGGAAACTCTCTAATAATAAAGATGTGGGAAAGTAGAATCTGGGAATTTGGGTCTTTATGCAAAATTACTTCTAAATAGCAAAAAATCATAGTTCTTTGCTAGTATGGGTCAATGCAAATAATTAACAACTGAGACTTAAGGGTGGTACTTCTGAGAGAGTCTTTAATATAGAGTTGCAGATTGAAAAGATTAAATGTCTCAAGTAATTGATTGGGAAAAATTAAGCTTGCTGTACAAAAATATAGACCCTGATCAAAGTTTTCTTCATAAATAGCGTTGTTTAAAGTAGAAATTTGATTGGATGTATCTTAAAAGAAGCCTAAATTTTTGAATTCATTCCTATGTAGGAAAAGGCCATTCCTGCAAAACACAGGGTGTTAAATGACATTACTGGTATTCCTTTTTTCCCTACTCTGGTTCAGCACTTTGGATCTCCTGATGTGGAAAAGGAAGTGAAAAGACTGCTGTGTGCAGATGCCGAAGCTGTCAATGCCCGTATCCTTTTATACTAAATATTTCCTATGCAGTTTGTTCCACCCCAAATGCACTTGGTGACAAGCCCTCATTTCTGGTATTTGTGTGCTGACGTTAATGTATAGAACTTAGAATTTGGGGTAATGTTACTTTCTAGCTAGGAACAGTACAAATCATGTGATAGAAATCATTTACTTGTGTAATTCAGTATAAAATACTTATCCATACTAGGAATCCAGCTACAAATGGCCTGAAGTTGGACTAAATTAAATAGCACTTTCAGACAGAGAGCCTTTTCCCTTTCAACACTGTCTTCTTTCTTTCTGCCTTTTCCTTGACCTCCTCCCCTTTTAGGGTGGGAGGTCATTGCTGACGATGGAAAGGAAATAGAATGTCAAGGCTCCACTCGTAGCTATGCGATAGCCTCAGGAATGAATGACTGCAAGCAGGGTCATACCTTACCAGGTATGATAATAAAAGCAAAGCAGAAGATTCAGAGAGAACAAGTATTGACTGTGTGTAGGCCCATTCTCCACAGACTCACAGGCCAATCAAAAAAATGGATGCCTTTACCCTTCTTGCCCCTTATTGGTCCCTCAAGTTAAGGGGTTTTATATTGGGGTTCTAATATCCCATCCATCACTGCTATTCTAAAATTCCTATGGGCCCTTGGGTTGTCTAAATATTTTGATCATTGAATACATGAACGAATCTTATACTGTTTTGTATTTTCTGTCCTTGTTTTATAAAGGGAATCATCTTCTTGTGAGAAAAATTATTTATGAAATTCATTGGTTGCCCAGTAAACTTGAGGGGAAGGATAATTGCAGCTGGAGTGGGAGTCATTTGAAAAGCTTCAAATGTTTTCACCTTCCTCTTTTTTAAAACCTTTAGAATGTTATGTGCTTCAGGAGATGTGCAATGATTCTATCAATAACACTGAGGATAATAATGATGAGGAGGAAGATTGTGATGATAAAGAAGAGGAGGAAGATTATGATGATGAGGATATAGAAAAGAAGCTACAGGTCAGGTTCACTGAATATGGCCACTATGAGGCAAAGGAGGAAACCAGCTCAATGGGTAAGTTAGAGGGAAAAACAAAAGGGTGGGACAGAGTGGGTGCCAGTATTAAAGACTGACTTTGAACTTGCATTCAATGCAAAGTTAAGTTTGAGAAATTATTGCTCAAATATGTACTGGAGTTTTAGTTGATTTGGACCTTGGTCCACTAGTTTAGGCCTTGTGTAGATACCTGAGGTTTTTGTCTATCTGTGTTAGTCATGGAAATTCAGAAGCACACTCAATACACGGAGAAAAAGCTCAATGAGATTCAGCACAGGGCACAAAGACAGAAGGAGCTCATCAGGAAAGTGGAAAACCTGACACTCAAGGTAAATTCTTGTTGGCTGGTATAAAGATCTCTTGATATCTTACTTTCAAAATCCCATCTCTGTGTTTTCCACTCATCTCATCTCTGTGCAGCATTCTAGTTCATTCATGAACCTGAGCAACCTCTTTAGAAATCCCTAATAAAAGATAGCCGTATTTTGTTTTACCTGAGTGATTTTGTTCATCTTATATAAGAGTTTGGGGGAAGGGACCAGCAGACTTGAAATAATAATTGCCAATATTGAACATTTAATAATGTGAAAGGCATACACAGAGCTAAGCATTTTCCATGTGTTACTACATTTCATCTTGACATCCCTGTAATACAGGTACTATCACTAGTCCCATTTTATAGATAAGAAATTGAAATTCAAAGAAGTTCAGTAATTTGCCAGGGACCACAGTAAGTGGTAGAGCATAGACTGAATCCTATTGCTCTGTACCAAAATGTATTCATTGCAACAAAAGAGAATTAAAGTTAATTTTTAAATTTTATGATGCCTGCTTGAATAAGAATTAATATCGTGCTTGAGTTTTACTAATACAAATTAATGCATATTTTATTAATACACATTTCAGCAAAAGGAAAATGTATGTCTAGGCCATGTTTCTTTCCCTTTTATAGTGAAGGAAATTCTGAAGCATTCAGGGAATTTCTTGCCAGATTTCTTTTTCTGTAGAGCTTTTGTCATTGAAGGGGAGAAACTTGATACATAACTGTACTTATTTAGAGCGTTGTCCTTCAGAATAACCAAGTGAGATAATAGATGTGGACATACTTTGAAAGATACAGATATCGTGATTACTATTGCATGCAGTATTATTTAAGAATGATAATAGTCTGTCCGAGTGCAGGGGAATGAAAGTCAGCAACAAATTCCAGGCCAGCTTTTTTTTTTTTTTTTTTTTTTAGTTTTCTTACTCCTGATTTTATTTTTTATTTTATTTTATTTTTTCATTTGTTTTTATTAGTTGGAGGCTAATTACTTTACAATATTGTAGTGGTTTTTGTCATAGGCCAGCTTTTTAAATGGTTCACTACAGTCAAAGGATTTGTGCTAAGCTAGAGAAAGGTAATATGCAGGCATTCCAACTGTTTGTTTTAGGGCAAGAAAAAAATGTTGTGTAGGGTCAAAAAACCAAATCACATGGCCCTGTAGTTGGAGAGCATAGTTTTTATACTCTAAATCCTTTTTAAATTTTTTTTATTGAAGTATAGTCGATTTACAGTGTTGTGCCAGTCTCTGTTTCACAAAGTGATTCAGTTACACACATATAGACAGTCTTTTTCTAAATCTTTTTAAAAGTCTTTTGTTACAACAGACAGTTTTTTTTTAATTTATCAAATTATTTGCCAAACTCTTTGTCTCTCTTGATTCTCTTTTCCTTTGAGACTCAGCATTCATCATTTATATGATTTGCTTTCCAGAATAATTTACAGTCTGTGCTGGAGCAGCTTAAGTTACAGGAAGAAGAAAAAACTGAGCAGGTGAGAATGTGTTTTCACATCAACCAGAGAATTATTTGTTTGATACAATAAATTATTTGTTTGATACAAAGAATCCCCAAATCTCATTTCTGGCTATTCTTTTCATAGAAATAGTAGTGGCCCAAATCTTCTAAATGAAGGTAGCAGTTTGAAGCAAAGCCTTTGTGAAAATTCACTCATTGAGCAGGTATTAAATGCCTATTAAGTGAAAAGCACTGGATATACACACAGTGTTGAATAAGACAGATACAATACTTGTCCTAATGGAGCGAACAGTCTAGCAGGGAAGATCAACAGTAAACAAATTATAATACAAATATGAAGGTGCAAATAATAAAGAAGGGCTGTGAAGGAGAGTCAGGGGTGTGCTTTGAATAAAGAGAGTCCTGAATTAAATTGGGAGGGGGGATCATAATCAGCCTTTCTGGGGAAGTGATATTTAAGCTGAGACCTGAAGGGTAAGTCCAAGCAAAAAGGATACGAAAAGCTTCTTGGGTGGAGCATATGCCAGGTCCCACATTGGAAAAGACCTTGGTCTCTTTGAGGACCTCTGAAGAATTTAAAGCAAGGAAGTGACTCAACATGAGGTTGGTGAAGTATGCAGAGGCCATATTGTATGGTCCCTTGCAGGCCATGATAAGGTGGATGGGTTTAGTCTTAAAAATGCAATGGAAAACCTTGGAGAGTTTAAATCAGGAAAGTCACATTTAATTTAGAAGTTTTAAAGATCCCTTTGATTATTTTTTTTCCTTTGATTATTAATATCTGGAGAATGGATTGTGGGAGGACAGGACTAGAAGCTGAGAGGGCAGTTAGGAGGCTGTGTTGTAGTCTAATAAAAGATGACAGTAACTTGAAATAAGGAGGTGGAAATGGAGATAGAATAAATATTTTTTCTTTTTTTACTGAAGTATAGTTAACTTACAATGTTGTGTCAGTTTCAAGTGTACAGCAAAGTGATTCAGTTATATTTGTGTGTATGTGTGTGTATATATATCCATCCATCCATCACGTGCTCAGTCATGTCTGACTCTGTGACCCCATGGACTGTAGCCCGCCAGGTTCCTCTGTCCATGGATTTCCCAGGCAAGAATACTGGAGTGGCTTGCCATTTCCGGCTGCATGGGATCTTCTCGACCCAGGGATTGAACCCAAGTCTCCTGAGTCTCCCACATTGCAGGTGGACTCTACCGCTGGAGCCATCTCTTTTCAGACTCTTTTCCATTAAAATATATATAATTCCCTGGTGGTTCAGTGGTAGAGAATCCACCTGCCAAGCAGGAGATGTGAGTTTGATTCTTGCCTGGGAAATCCCATGGACATTGCAAAAGTCAGACACGACTTAGCTACTAAACAGCAACAAACACGTATATGTTAATCCCAAACTCCTAATTAATCCCTCCCCACTCTTTCTCCTTTGGTAACCATAAATTTGCTTCCTATGTCTGTGGGTCTATTTTGTTTTGTATATAAGTTTATTTGTACCATTTTTTAGATTCCACATATAAGTGATACTATATTTGTCTTTCTCTGGCTTACTAATACTTCACTTAATATGATAATCTCTAGATCCATCCATGTTGCTGAAAATGGCATTATTTCATTCAGAAAGAATATATATATTTGTAAATGCAATAAAATGTTTTATAACTTTTATTGGGATATAAATTCTTGTGCCATACAATTCACCCATTTAAATTGTACAATTCAGTGACTTTTAGTATGTTCACAGAATTGTGCATTCATCACCACAATCAATTTTATATTTTCATCACCCCCAAAAGAAACTTGTACCCATTAGCAGTCACTTCCCATGTCTTCTGACCCTCCCACACACTCCATATACCCATCCCCACCCCCCAGCTCTAGGTAAGCATCAATCTTCTTTCTACTAGCCTACTTTGCCTATCCTGATTATTTCATATAAAAGGAAATATAAAATACATGGTCTTTGTGTCTGGCTTCTTTCACTTGGCATAATGTTTTTCAATGTTAACCATGTTGTGGAATGTATCAGTACTAGATTCTGTATTACGGCTGAATAATATTCCATTGTACAGATATACAACATTTTGCTTATCCATCAGTTGACACTTGGGTTTTTTCCACCTTTTGGTTATCATGAATAATGCTGCTATGAACATTTATATATGAGAGAATATATTTTAAAGTTAGAATTGATGGGACTCAGGTCAGTTTCTGAGCACTGAAGGAGAAGGGAGCATTAAGGGCATAGGCTTGATTTCTAACTTGAAAGACCATTATTTAAAGCCCCAGAAGAGTGAGCAGAATGAAGAGAGAAGAGGGCAGTGTGGGATTAATGAAGGTCAAGCAGCTGTACAGAAATGTATGCTGGTTCTAGCACTATACTGTTAAGAGTGGGATAATGGTTTTAAAGAGACTGGTGGTCTTATTATGAGGATGGACTTAGCATGGGGCTCTTTTTAGTTATTTTTTTGGCTGCCCCATGCAGTTTGGAGAATCTTAGTTCCCTGACAGGCATTGAACCTCAGCAGTGAAAGTGCAGAGTCCTAACCACTGGACCACCAGGGAATTCCCTATCATGAGGCTCTTAAGGTAGTGATGCCATTCCCCCATGTCCATCCCCATACCAACAAGGTCAGGAAAACTCTCATGTTCTGTATATGCCCTTCCCCTCGGCACATCACTCACCCAAGTACTGCTTATATACAACCATGTGTATATAACGGTTAATGCCACGATTGCTTTAACACCCACTAAACATCTTTATTTTCCTCCATATAAGTAGTTAATGTTGGAGAAGTGCTATTTTCAACATAGAACTATTGCTGTACTCTTTATTCACCTAGAGTCCTTTGTGTGCTGTGTGCTGAGTTGCTCAGTCATGTCTTACTCTTTGCGACCCCATGGACTGTAGCCCACCAGGCTCCTCTATCCATAGGGATTCCCCAGGCCAGAACACTAGAGTGGGTAGCCTTTCCCTTCTCCAGGGGATCTTCCCAACCCAGGGATCAAACCCAGGTCTCCCACATGGCAGGCGGATTCTTTACAAGCTGAGCCACCAGGGAAGCCCTTTGTGTTAGCTCATTTATTCAACACAGATTTATTGGGTGCCTACTTAAAGTTAGGTTCTGCAGGGAACTACAAAATGCTTATGACACAATCTCTGTCTCCAGTTGGGGAGAAGTCCGTAAGAGGTATAGGAATTTAAAGGAATGAGAGCTCACTTATGTCCATGGAGATTAGAGAAAACTTCATAGAGAGATGGTGTTTAGGGCCTTAAGAGGTGGGTAGGGTTTTAATAAGCTTCCCAGGTGGCCCAGTGGTAAAGAAATCAGCCTGCCAATGCAAGAGACTGGAGTTCGATCCCTGGGTCGGGAAGATTTCCTGGAGCACAAAATGGCAACCCACTCCAGTATTCCTGCCAGGAGAATCCCATGGATAGAGGAGCCTTTGTGTCCATGTGGTCACAAAGAGTCAGACACGACTGAGCAACTGAGCACACAGACACAGGGTTTAATAAAGAAATAGAGAAAAAAGGCATTCTGTATAGAAAGTAGCATGCACAATGGCTCAGAGGTGGTGATGCTAGGCTTAAGACTTTAGATTTTTGGTGTAGTTCATAATAAACCTTAAAAGCTTTTTCACCTGGAGAGTAACTCAGGAAAATTTCTGTGCCAGAAGTATGTAGGAGACATTGAAGTAGGGAAAGATTAGAGGAAGATGCAAGTGATAGAAGGAATCTGAACTTAAAAGTTGATTGGCACTGTTCTTTTTAACAGTTTAAGACCAAGTAAGATAACCTTATAAATGCCAAATGACAGTCTTTCCATTTGGTTTATATAAGTAAATTCTAGATAAAGTAATGGGACTTAAGATTTCAAATGAATTTTTCATGTTTTTTCTCCCTCTCTCTACAGCTCATTTATCTACAGGAAAAACTGAACTACTTCCTGAAGAAGTGAGGAGAGTCTTCAACCTGGCACCCAGGCCTTCAGTTCACCATCCAGACTGAAGTCTAGATAAACTGTGCCTGTTTCTTTTCCTTTCATTGCCTTATGCCAAATCATTTGTATTTGCTTCTCTGAACCTTTTTTTTTTTTTTGCTAGTTCTGTAGGACCTGAGGACCCAGCTCAACTATGAGACTTGGCTTCTTTTTATAAAGTTTTAAGATTTACTTAAATGCTTCTCTACTATGGTGCCATCAGATAATTTGGCCATGCTTGCCAAAGGGAGACAGTCTTTTATAACCTGAAGGCTATATAGCCAGTCTGCATAGATTTTAGCTTTTTCTTCTGCTTGTTTCAAATATTTACTGAAACAGAACAAAGTCAAACCATTTCTGCCAAGTGCTAGAACCCGCCACAGTGAATTTAAGTGCCTACCTGGCAGCAGTTGATACTAAGTTGTGAGGTGTCTTTGTTCAGCCATTAGCAGCTGCTTTCCTGCTCAGGGGATATTTCTTGCTGCCGCCATCTTCTTTCCACTGTTAATATTTTTAGAATTGTGCCTGGTGGTTATTTGGCAGCTATGGGAATAGTTAGAGCAGAGGTGAAATTCTGAGCTGTTATCCTTATGCTGAGCCTCGTCATCCTAACCCCCAGCAGAAAAGGTTAGGAAAAAACAGATACCTGTGAGTGTTACCTGGTAGCCTACTGGTTAGGATTCCAGGCTTTTCACTGGTGTGGCCAGGGTTCAGTCCCTCGTCTGGGAACTCCTGCAAGATGCATGGCCCAAACCAAAAACAAATGCCTGTGAAAACATCCTCAAAAACCCTGGGCCAGTTCATTTTTTTCTAGCTGTGTTAAGATTTTCTAGCCTGTGTTTTTAAGCAATAAAATTCTTTAAGTGGATTACTGTTACTTTATTAAAACAGTTCCCATGAGAAGTACATTCAAATCCAAAAGGAAACTGGTGAGACAAGCAATACATTCTGCAGTTAGGAAATGACGAAAGATGCTGTCAGCACTGGGGCATCCTTCTAAAGAGCTCTTAGGATGATTCCTAATGAACCAAGCAAATCATCTCATATTCACAACACATTGAGCTTTTGAGTGAAGGCACAGAGAAGTGATAAAAATGGCAGCTCCAATATTTGCACTGAATTATGTTGTAGTTGAAGGAACACAAGGTTAGAACCCTGGCTCTGCTACCTAACTTGGGCAAGTCCCTACACCTCTTAGAACTTCTGTGTCCTTATGTGGAAATTAAGGGTGATAATGCTTATCACCAAGAGGCAGCTGAAGGTTTTTTGGAAGTAGCCCAGCTTGACCCAGGTCTGGTCTCAATTGATGAAGTTGGTGCCACTCTAGGAAATGAGCCCCCAAGTTTTCTCTGCCACTTTTAGTGCTCCCATTCCAAGTTGAAAGTAATAAGCCAAGGGCAGAGAAGGGGAAGTCAATATGTATGGGCTGGGCCTGTGCAGAAGGATGAAGATACAAGGAATGCTTGGGGGGAAATACAGGGAAGAAGTGGGACTAAAGGGAAGGAGAAAATGAAGCCAAGCTTAGGAGAGAAGTTAGAGGACAGTTTGAAAACCAAGATGATTTTTTTTCAGAAACCCAGAATTTAAAAGATGAGAAGAGGTGGAGAGGGAGGTGGGAGGGGGGATCAGGATGGGGAATACATGTATATCCATGGCTGATTCATGTCAATGTATGACAAAAACCACTACGATATTGTAAAGTAATTAGCCTCCAACTAATAAAAAAAATTAATTAATTAAAGGTTATTAGGAGACAATAAAAAAAAAGATGAGAGAATAGGGAAAAGGAATTGTCATAGGCAGACGGGGGAAGAGGCAGGATTTGGAAAGAAGGTAGGCCTTTCCAGGTGAAAGATGGCAGAGGACTAGGGCAGAAATATAAACAGTACCCTGGGGACATGGCTGGAGAGACTGCAGCCAGAGAGCGCGACACATATGCCACATGTGGGGCCGTCATGTGGAAGAAGTAGAAGAGTCCTAGTCCGGCCTCTGTCTGATACTGCACCCCGAGAACAGCCAGAGCTCTGATGAGAGGCCATGGGGAAGAGAAGACAACAGGACTAGGAGCAAATTCATGCATCTGTGGTGCCCTTCTGTTCCCTCCAACACCACATCTCCTAACCCTGGGTAACTGCTTCACCACTGTCCAATCCCCACCAAGTTGGCAGCAATAAGCTGCCCTGACTCGCTCCTCACCCCCAACACACACACATGATACATCATGAAATTTTCCTTCTCTATAGCCCAGTGATTCTGACTTGGGCATGTTACAGAACTGCGCTGTCCAATAGGGTATCCACTAGCCACATGCAGCTTTTGAGCACTTGACCTATGGCTAGGCAAAATTGAGGTGTGTCTTTCCACGTAGGCAAGGCTCAACTGCAGGAAGCCCCAGGCCTTGGTGGAATGCTCCATTAGCCTCCTGGAACCTGGAAAGATAGGCAGTCTCATGGGGATTCGAGACACTCAGCTTCCTGTTTGGAGGGAGGCTGTCATGGGGCAGTTTCTCATCTGCCTCCCTCATTCTGGTGAGGCATGGGATTTTTCTGCCTGCCTCCCTTCTCCCCTGTCCTTGCCCCAGAGGGTTCTGCTGCAAGCCATAAAGCTGCTTAGGGGGAGGTGTGGAGTTGCTATTCAGGAACACAGTGTGCCGCCATTCCTGTTGCATGTCATCTGGCCCCTTTTGTTTCAGTGTTATCCTGTGCAACAGGGACAAAGGGAACAGATCCCATTGCTGACCTTGCTTTTACTGTCTCTTCAGTAATAAAGTGCCTGGCTCTATGTGGGTTTCTAGTTTTTTACCAGCTGAATTTGTACCCTGCTTGACAATTTCTGAAAGTGTAAGTGAAAGTGGCTCAGTTGTGTCTGACTCTTTGCCACCCCATGGATTGTAGCCCACTAGGCTCCTCTGTCCATAGGGATTCAGGCAAGAATACTGGAGTGGGTTGTCATGCCCTCCTTCAGGGGATCTTCCCAACCCACAGATCATACCCAGGTCTCCCACATTGCAGGCAGATTCTTTACCTTCTGAGCCCCTAGAGAAGCTCAGGAATACTGGAGGGGGTAGCCGTTCCCTTCTCCAGGGGATCTTCCTGATCCAGGAATCAAACTGGGGTCTCCTATATTACAGGCGGATTCTTTGCCAGCTGAGCTACCAGGGAAGCCCCTGACAATTTCTAAGACTTAATAAAACAATAAAATTGAAAGCAGGGAGTCAGATGCTTTAAGTACACCACTGTTTACAGCAGCATTATTCACAAAAGCCGGAAAATGAAAATAACCTGAGTCCATCCACAGATGAAAGGAGAAACAAAATCTAAAGTACACATATAATGGAGTAATATCAAGCCATAAAAAGATATACAGTTCTTACATATGCTACAACATTAATAAACCTTGAAGTCATCATGCTAAATGTAATAATCCAGTCACAAAGGAATGAATATTATTATTCCACTTATGTTAACAGACATATTCATCGAGACACAAAGTAGATTAGAGGCTACCAGATGCTAGGGGCAGGAGGAATGGGGACTTATTACTTTATGGTTTCAGAGTTTTTGCTTAGAGTAATTAAAAAGTTTTGAATATAAATAGTGGTGATGGTTACAGAACACTATGAATGTACTTAATGGCACTGAATTGTACACTTAAAATGGCAAATTTTATGCAATATATAGTCTACCACAATTTTCAAAAATTACTAATATGCCGAAGAACACTGAATGTACACTTTATTTTTTTTTCTTTTTCTTTTTTTTTACATACACCTGAATGTACACTTTAAATGGGTGAATTGCATGGCGTGTAAATTGTTTCTCAATAAATCTGCTTTCTAAAAATAAAATAAAATAAAATAAAATGTCAGTAATGGTTTTATACTGATTACATGATGAAATGAAAATATTTTGGATATATTGGGCTATTATTAAAATTAATTTCATTTGGGTTTGTTGGGCCTTTTTTATTATGGCCGCTAGAAAATTTTAAGCTGCATATGTGACTCACATCATTTTTCATGTCAACTTCATTGACAATGAAGTCATAGATTGGTGAGAAAGAAGATTGGTGGTGGGGAAGAGGGACTGACAGGGTTTTATTTTGCCAGAAAAGGGTATTAAAAAAGAACTTACCACCAATTCACAGGGACATTTAACACAGACATCCCCCCAAAATATATAGCCATAATCTCAGAATAAAGGATAGATTTTTAAATTGAATATATGTAACTTTATGGAAACTCACTGCATTGTCCATATTTTTCTCTTACTGCTTTAGGGTGGTGAAAAATTCCTCAGACTGATGAGGACAGTGTTGAAGAACCATTGCTATAAAGAGCTAATTCCATGAGTGAATAACTAGCTAATTTTTATGGGGCCTTAAGAGGTGACCACTCCAGGTAACAGTGGTGGATGAGGCTAGTGGGGTGTGTCTGTTTTGTCCTGTAGGTGTTGGACTCTTCTGGTGTGTTTTGCAGTGTTCTTGTGGATTTGTGGCTCCACCCTCTCCTCCCACACCCAAATAAGGGAATGATGTGGAGTGTCAGAGTCAAAGAGCATAACCAGAGGAACCAAAGTAAACAAATACGAATTTATTCTTTTCAAAGCAGAATTTAAGGGAAAGGGGGAAAAGCACCACAGTGAGTGGCAACGTTAACCAATTTGTTCCCAGCCCCGCCTTTTCATCCCAATTTTTTCTAGACTAATATGCCACCCTTTCTGCTTCCCCGAATACCAAATACCACCTTTATGACCACCAGCTCTTTGTAGCCAGCGAGCAGCATCATAGGCTTCAATCTGGCCTCAAGACTGCCCTAAGAACACCAAAGACATTGAGCAGGTACCCCTCCAAATGTGGCAGCTGTGAGAGGAGATGAAGCCTGGGAGCTTAGCCTTGGCCTTGAGCCTTTTGCTCTCCCACAGTCACTGCTTTTTAAAGAACAACAAGGAGCTGAAGTATTCCTTTGTTCTCAGAGCCGGCTGTTGGCAGGAAGGCCCAGAGATAGAGCTACCCAGCTAAGTAACTAAGTCTCCACAGCCCTAGGGTAAGCCCCCACCTTTCTCCTCCAGAACTGTTCATCTTAGGACAGTTACATTCTTAGTTATCTGTCACTTATGTTAACGGAACTTTGATGAGAGTCTTGGCTTGAAATGATCTCAGAGGCCATGACTCTGTCATTGAGAATGCCTGTTCAAGGAATGCTCTAGCCTGAAGTTGAATATGGAGCCCAGATCCCAAATACACACCGCAAGCATCATGGGTATTCCTTAAAATTTATCTGGAAGGAAATCATCACCCAGGACTGGCCTCTGTTTGACCTCAAGGTTTCTCGTTACCATGGCCTGCCAGCCCAGCCCCTAAAGTACGACAAACTCAAGCAAGTTTCTCTACAAGGAAATATCTCCAAACTTTGGGCCTTGAAGGAAATGGGCATTTGAGGGCCTTGGTTTCAGCCTTTCCATCCTGAAGGGAAGGATGCATATCCTGGATTGGACCCTCTCTAGGGAACCATGCAACCAACAGCCAGATGTCCTCCAACCAGTCAGCCTTCCTTAATAATTTCCCAGTCAACCTGACTCCACTCTGCTCTCACTCGAAGCAGAGGCACCCTCCTAATGGCTTTTTGGCCTCTGTCAGATTCTGTCAAGAATATATCACTTATCAATCCTAACTGTTCCCCATACTATATGACCACAACCCCAGCAAACACTCACTTTCCTTACCACTGATGCTAATCCCACAAGTCAGAGGTTTTCATTAGGCCACCTATCCAGCAACCCCCTTCACCACCCTTTCAGTACGGAGCCATAAACTATGCAGCATCACACACTATACCTCTAGGAGATAAGACACACAACAGACGGCCTA